ACTCTGAGAGCCAATCTTACCGATTGCGCTGCCGATTAAGTGGTAAAGAGACTAACCCAGACTCTTTACCCACAGCTAGCCCTTCACACCACTGTTGTACATAATTGTTGTTGTTACATTTGAAAATGGACATATAATAAGTAGGAAAGTTCCAACACTTATTTGTGATGTAGATGTGGCAATTGAATGTGTTTTAAAAGAAAATCACTTAGGGTGCATTTACTTCTGAGCTAATAGTACTATCTCCGAACATCAGAAGTGACGTCATTAGCATGTGTATTCGTGCTTACATGTCCAGTTCGAAAGTAAATGTGAATGCTAACAAGAAATATGGCGGGTTCCTGCAAATAATAATGTCAAAGCTGCTATTTTAAATGTTACGTTACAGATATAACTACTTGATTCCAAATCGGACGAGGATGATTTTATTGTGGATACAATTGTAGAAAAAAGAAAAGTAAGGTAAAATAAAAAAGATAGAAACTTTTATTGAAGAGACTCTACCTTTTTATAAGCCAACCAATTTTAAACAACCTTAGACTTGCAAGAGAATGTTTTGAAATTCTCCTCTAAAAAATAAGCCCAATTATAGACACTGAAAAATTACTTCCTCTGGAAGACAACCCTCAAAAGCAGCTTTTATGCTGTCTATGGACATTGGCAAATCAAGAATCATTCAGGTTTGTTTATACGAAGTAATATATGAAATTAGATGCAGTTTATAAGAGAATAGTAGATTATACATACATATAATATATATTTAAAGCAATTGTTTTACCCAGTGAATGGATGTGATGACGTTTTGTTGCGGTGTAACTAAACTGAGTTAAAATTAACAAATAATTGGTATTAAATGCAAAATACTTTTTTTTCTTTCTTTCTTTCCTCTAAGGGTATTGGCAATCGTTTTAATATGTTTAGACGGACTGCGTGGAATATTTTAAATAAAGTTGTTAATTCTTTCTTACAAGTTAGTGTTAAATGAAAATGGAAAATGATCTTTTGGCCATCACACAGCAGGATGATGTAAGAATAATGGAATTTTTTATACCAAATCTGGTTTTCCTGGAATTAGAGGCTCTAATTGATGAAAAGCACATGGCTATTAAGACATCAACTGAAGAAGCAGTAGCCTATTTCAATAGAAATAAGTATTACTCTGTCATCATATAAGTTTAGTTTGTAATGAAAAAATGTATTCAAATGATACAATTTCTTGAGAAGTCATTTCCCATATGTAAGTGAAAATTCATTCAAGTATACAAACTTATGTAATTTTAATTATTATCAATGCTGTTCATTTCTTTACAATTTATTTAATGCTCCGAACATAACATTTCTGAAGTTTCCAAATGCGTATTAGGTAAACCTCACTTTTAATCATAAACAATGAATTAAATTTAATTTTTTTTTCACATTACTGAACTCTGTTTATGAAAAAAGTCATCTAAAACTATTGAACCTTACAATGAAAAAAAGATCATTGTAAACATTTTACATAACAAATAATTGAAATTTACCAATAAAACTACTTTCTGCCGTTTATTTTTCGAAAACTAATTCCATTTTTAGTACTTCGTACAGAAAGTAATTTTTTCATGAAAGTAATTTTTTCATATTGAATTAGTGCAAAGCTCAACAACGAACTAGCTAGCACTCCGAGCTTACCAATTTCGCTAAACATGATGTCACATAGCTGTAAAGTAAACGTCAATGAGCGTGGCACTCGGACGAAAGTATACAGGCTGAGCGTGCTGATAGTAAAATTAGCTCAGAAGTAAACGCACCCTTAATGTGCAAAAACATGGTTCTAAATGTATTAGAGAGGTTGCAGCTGAAGTTCAAACTTTAAACTTGTACGGCAAGCAGAAGTACACTTTTGACATTTGAACTCCAAGCAAAACACATTGTGCCACATGTTCATGTCATTCACCGACTCATGGGATATTGTTGAAAAATGGTGGAAACATTTAAGAACGATGAAGGTTACTAGCAAAAGTAAATAAACAAGTTAAACTATTTTAAATTATTTAGAGGATGTTTAATAACAATAAATGATTTACTTTAATTAGCATCGTATCTCCTACTATACGATATAAAATTCCAATGCATTTTGCCTGTTCTTGCGACATACATTTTGTTCAGTGGCTTATATAAACCCAAAAACAGATTGGAAAATTATTTTTAGAAATTTACAAATGTATTATGCTGTTGATGGCAGAAAATGCCGTGAATGAACAAACCTACTTCTGCAGTATTATGATAAGTTATCATGAACACAAATATATAAAAATTCTATAGGCACTTCACATCACTTGCAAAAAAATTAAATAATTAAATAATTTCTGGATTAAAACTGTCTCTGTTTCTTTACAATGTTTTTCATAAATGCTTAAATAATCATTATTTTAATAAAATATGTCATAATTTTAACCCAAAACACAGAAAAATGCAGAAGTTTAAGCCAAACTTCTATGCACCATACTCAACATTCCAAATGCCATTGTCAAACTTCTAGGCTTACAAGATGGTGGCGCTCGACGTTCTATGTTCACATTTTAGAGATGGAAACTTCAGCCGCAACCTATCTATTGACAGATATAGTAAAGCAAAAGCTAGCACTGTCATGTACTTGTTATTTTTTAACTTTAAAATTAAATTAATTTCATTTAATTTGGTAAATAATTTTTGTGGATCTTGTATTGAATATCAAGAAAAAAACATTCACATCTGGGATGCTGATGGAGTGATTCTGGTGAAATTTCTTGAACCTAGGCAAACTGTTAATGCTGCTTGGTTCGTCATGACATTTCATAAGCTCTATTGTGCATTGTGTGATATACATCCTGGAAAGAAGATCATCCTGCCACACAACACAAGGCCCCACACTGCTTGTTACACCTTGGAGGAAATTTGGAAAATGAAGTGGAAAGTTCTTCCCATCCTGCCTACAGCCAAGTTTAGTATCCTCTGATTATTATCTTTTCAGTGCTGCAAAGGAAAACACATGAGGCCAATGCTACAAAATGGTGAAGGCCATCAATAAAGCAGTGCATCAGTTTTTTTTAGTGTTCTATCATAAGGGAATTTTCAAGATCTCACAACAGTGGGAAAAATGCATCCAAAAAAGTAGAGACTATGTGGAAAAATAAAGAAAAGTCTAAAAAATAATATGATCTAGTTGTTTTTCCAAAAATAAATTAATCTGATTTATAAAAAATTGTGAATAAGTAAGATTTAACTGGAGAAATAAACAAAAGAAACAGTGTACCTTGTAACTCCAGCAGTATATTTAATAAATCAAACGTTTTTAATCTAATACCATAGGTGTTCCTCAGTGAAGTACACCATTTAAAATAAAACAAACATAAGCATATTGAATTCAATAGAAAAGAACACTCTCACAGAAAAAATTAACAATTAATAATTACAAATAATACAAATAAAAATAAAGATTAATATAAACAAAAGTAATTATAAATGTAACCTGTCCAGGTTACATTTTATACAAGGACTTCCATGCTGAATCCCTATGATTGATACTGACACCTTAGTAGACCCATATAGTGTAAATCATAGGGATGTAACAACACCTTACCTCGTAAAAACATAAATAAAACGTTTTAATGTTCTACTCATACTTATTAATACTGGAGTGAAAGTATAGCTCCAAACCTTCTTTGTAGAACCTTCAAAACAATTCTCCAGTAGCTTATTACTTTGATAATGACTAATGTTTTTTATCCTTCAGCTGGATCTTCTTCAGGTCGAACATAAATGTTACATTCTTAAAAATGTTATGTTAATCGAAAGTGTCTTCAGGTTAAATTCACTGCATGATATTGTCGTTATAATACAGGGCACAAGTTATTAAACCCATTTCAAACTGATATTTCTTTAAATTTTTTTTAACTTTGAATGTTATAAAACTGCCCAGATGTGGTTTAAAGTAATATCTTCCTTGTGTATGACAAATGTTTTTCATCTTTGAAATTAATGCTTCTTCCTTATTTTTTGGCTTTATATATTTCCAGCAGTTCCAAAGTCCTAATGTTTTCTGATTGTTTGGCTCTCCTAATGATGGTGGCATTCTGTCAATCAGCCTGTATGTTGCTGTCTGAGGCATAAAAAATCAAGGCAATAATGAAGCTGTTATGGCTGATATTGTAAATATGTTTGGCCAATCTCTTTTGTGGAGAGCGTGTGGTGGAGCCTGGGTACTCCAATTCCTGTTGGTCTCTATGGTTTTTTAAAATGGTTTAAATGAATTTTAATATTTTTCTGTTTTTTGTAAATGATTACATGCATAAATGTTTAAACAATTATCTTGGACTAGAAGTGGAGCACAAATTTATGTGAAATTTTGTTTCACATGATACCTGCTGCTACACATTACTCATATAAAACAAGATTGTACTGTGTATTTATTTATATTTTTGCAATTGTGCAATTTTTATAGTATTTTTGTTTAGATAAACAATTAGGCAAATTTGATAAAAATTGCAGGACAAATAAGTTTGAACATACAAATTTAAGAAAAATTCTTAAAAAAGATGATGCATAAAAGTGTCTTCTAGCTTTGTATTTTAATTTTTATCAAATGTATTTATTATTATTAATTGTACTGTCACCAGAAAAATGTTTTTAAAAGTTTTACAGATTGAGGTGGATGAGTAGCCTCTAAGAAAAGGTTGACTCTGCCATGGGACTGTTAATTTCTTCATGTGCATGCAAAAGGACAAAGTTAGAAGGCACTTTTATGTATTGTCTTTTTTTAAGAATTTTTCTTAAATTTGTATATTCAAGTAGACAAATTATTTTATTGAAAAGAAAATGTTATTTCTATTGCTTAATCTAATAAAACAATACCTATTTGTATTAGTCTTCAAACTTTTCGCTCTCCTGACTATTCTGAATTTTAACTATTAATTTACAAAGTCCTGTTTTGTATGATGCTTACAATAGATATAATAATGATTGTTTTGTTTTTATAAATATAGACAGGAAAATTTTTTGGTGAAATTGATTTTACGATATTTGATTCTTTAGTTGATTATGGAATATATAATAGGTAAGTAAAATTGTATTTTGTTACAGATATTTTTAATTTGGTATAATTATAATGATTTTTTTTTAAACAGAGTAACAGTGCATGATTATCAAGCTATTTGTATAGAGATTCAAGCTTCATCTGGACCTACAGGATTTTTACAAACGGTAATTTATGAATAATATCAATAATAATTAGAAATTATAAAAACTTAGCTGAAAATTTGATTAACTGCAGTATCTAAATTTTATAAATATTTATAAATATGTGAGGGGCTAGCCAGGGATACAGAGTAGGTAAGACTCTAGTATCACTTACTCGGCAGCTATTCCTTGAGAATATCCCTCTGTTTGTCTTACAAGGATGGTTTTCCTAATTCAAGGAAATAGAGTGCGGAGGGACTTACAGTTTGAATGTGAATTTAAAGTGGAATTAGATGATTGCGTAATCACCCTTTTCCTTCTGTCAGGATTCCTGACACCAGTTAATCAGTTTTATATTACGCGGATTAACATTCGTTATCCCTAACTTGTGAATAAGAGGAGTGAAGGAAATTTAAAGAAAATATTAACCAAACCATTTTTATATAACAAATCAAAACATTTAATGAATCAAAATATAAAATTATACAAAAGAATAAAATCTAAACCTAAACTTAAATCACTATCTTAACCTAATATTATGCTAAACCTAACACGTGAGAGAGAGTTCACATCGATCTAACTTATATTACCTTCCACAGGTCTTTCATATATTCTCTGTATCTATGTGAGGGTCTTCTTCCTTTCTTGATATTTCTCTTCTTATAGTTTCTATGGACAGTTCTTTTTAATCTTCTCTTTTATCAATCTTGTATACTTCGAATGTAGTACTATGTTTTTATGACTTCCTTTCTGATTCTTATAACAGCCTTGTATGACAATATTTTTCTTCTGACGATATCTTTCTTTGTATGGCAAACATTCCTTCGACGGACTGCCTTTATCGTATGGCTAGTTCTCTTCTTCGTGTGGCAACCTCTTTTCGACGGACTGCTTCAAGTGGCCGGAAAATGTCCCTTTTATTTGCTCTCCAGTAACGTGTGCAAAAACTCATGCGCCTCATCATGAGTTGGCCTGGGAAAGGAAATCAACTTCCTCTCAGAATCGAAAGTTTCATCCATTTTTGTAAAATTCGTTGAATGAGAAAAATATTATTTTTTCTATTCATTTTCTAATCTTTTCTTCACCTTCTAAATCTTCAGAATGACACTCCCCTGACAAATATAACAAATATATAATTTGGAATTTTAATATTTTATTGCATATGTAAATAATTGAATTGATTGCATCTTAAGAGAACTTATATTGTACAGAAACAAATTTTATTAAGCATTTGCCATCAACTAAATCATAGCAAAAAATAATTTTTGCCTTTAAAACAGATACTGGATCTTCATTAAAAAAATTTTAAACTAATATTTTTTAATTTAAAATCAAGAGATCTGAATTTCTTGTAGCAGTTCATAATATTTAGAGAATAATGTTTTTGAACATTGTTTTATTGACTTTTATGTGCTTAATTAAATAAATAATTTTGGATATTAATATCTACAAATATGAAATAACTTGGTTTTTGGAATAGTGATTTTCACCAATTAGACCACTTATAATCCCAATACTTCAAATCATAAAATATTACAGTACACTAAACAAGTTATGTCAAATGAATAAATATGCTTGAGTAACATTTTATATTTATTTATTTTATTACTCAAAATAATATAAAATAAGACAATGATCAATTCTCTTGTTCATACTACAGTAACGGTAATTTAAATAATATAATTAAAAACAAATAGAAATAGATTACCTATTTTTTAAAACAGAAGTATAATAAAATCACTAAAAATTAAGAATTAAGAGGAATAATTATCTATTTTTTACAATTATTTAAATCCAATTATCTCAGAAACAGTTGAAAAAGCATTTTAAAAACAAGCTGAATACATTTTTCTCTGTTTCAATTATTTCCTATAATAGTTTTTTATTTTTATATTTCTTGTTTAATGTCAGGCACAGGAAATGTCCTGAAATCCCACTAAATTCATTAATATTTAAAACAGTTTTTCTTTCCATTAAAGGAAAAAAAATAATAATGGGAAAAACCTTTTTCTCAAAAACCTGACAAAGGAAAACTAGACAATGTTAGTCCCAAGATCAACTGTCTCTAGTAGGGATCAAATTAAATGCCAATTTTGACTCATTCCATGATCTAAGTTGAGGTATTATTACACTTAGTAACAAGTGAATGACTACATAGAAAGTGAGAACAAGGTAAAGAGACCAATCAAAATGGATGATGAGGGACAGAAAATAATAAAAACCCCAAATTTCAAGGACAAGAGAGCTTCTCTCGCCAATTTTTCAGTGCCAGGACCTTACTTGGTTGCATCCTCAACTTCACCCTCAACTCTCTCTCTCTCTCCCGATTGACATCACTTCTCCGTAGACATTACCTCTGGGGCCACCAAACAATGGAAGGATCCTTCTCTTCAACAGATTCTCTTTTACAAGAAAAACAGAAGCGTCAATGGACTTTCTCATCACTTACAGAGAATGACAAGAGCACTAGTTTTTGTGAGTTTTTTTTTAGTATAAATAAATCCAGACAATCTTTTTGTAACCATCAAGTTTGTCTTGGTGTCTGTTACAACCGCATATGAATCTGCACCTCTCTTCTGTTCTGACCTGAGTGAACAATTTTACAATCTCACATTAAATTTATAACAAAAAAAAGTATAAAATTATTTGAATGCATAAAATCATGCATTTAAAATTTTTTTAAATAAAAATTTGATGATTTCTTACAAAATGCAAAATGTTAATAGGTTAAATTAGAAAATTCTTGAAAATTCCATAATCATATGTCTGCAGGTGTATATGAATACTACTGGTAATTTAATGATCCAAAACGTAAGGTTTAATTACATTTATTTTTGTTGATTACATATATTAATAGATACATATTGGATAGAAAAATAAAATGTACAATGTACATTTTATTTTTACAGCCCCTCATCAGTAACTAAAATTATTAAGGGCTAGGTGTAAGTACAAAATCAATTAAAAATAGCAAAAAAAATAATAAACGTAATAGTAATATCTTACTTTGTATTGAATCAACTATCTCCTTAAATATGAAAGTACATGAACATAACATGGAATGTATTTCACACTGATACATTAAGTATATACACTAGAGCATTGATTATCCGACCCCCGATTAACCGTCACATCGGTTAACCGACCGTTCTAGTCGGCAAATTTTAAATGTCCGCTAGTGATGTTACAATATTTAGCTATGTCTTGGCTACTTTAATATTGTGAGACTAATCGGGGGTAGGATGTTTACGAGGATGTCCCTCTCCTACCATTTACTCGACTCAAGACCTTGAGGTCCGGTCTCGCTTGTCTAAAGGATGGGAAAAAAGGGTTAGGAGAAAGGATCGTTAGATTCTTTCACCTGTCAGGATCTGACACCAATCTATCAATTTATCGCGGATAGATACGCGGATGGATGGGGAATTATCACGAGCGATCTCGTCGAGGACTTCGGGTTCAGTATGGAGTGGAAAATGTCGGAAGAAACGCACACCAATCCAAGTTCGTTAACAAAATACCCGTTTATTCCGTACATTTATACATAGTTAATAATTGGAATACAAATCCCTCTCGGGTTCAATCCGTATAGTTCATAAAGTAACGGCAAAGTATAAAATAGTCGCGACCCTACCCGCGAGGTTCGAATATTCGAGAGAGAGCTTACACATCATCGCGTGTAGGATAAATACCTCTGATTAGGTTGTTATAACGTTGATCCGAGGTTCGTCCTTCCAAGTTCAAAGTTCAAATCAGTCCAAAGTTCGAAGTCGAAGTTCAAAGTCTATTAAAGACGGTGGAGACGAGATGCAGGTAAATCCACGGGCACACACTCACAGTATAGAGAAAAGAACTTAATTTCCCCCTTGTGTCGTCATTGCACTTGCCTTTTATATGGGGGCTCTTTTTTCGAGATTTTCCCATGTACGTCACAGGTGATGATCTTCTTTGACCAATGATGGGCGAAGTGACAAACTTATGACACAACAGTTAACTCATCTTCTACAGGGAAGTATTGTGGTGGGAAAGGAGTTTTTATGAGCGATTTTTATGAGAAAATTTGTCGGTTGTTTTTTCCTTTTTGAGTTAACCCTAACTTAAAAAAATCGTTTTGGTTTGAAATGAATAGAAATTATTCGATTCTCAGCCTTTTTAAATCCTGGGCCTCACATCACCGCGGACTTTCTAAAATCGAGCTTGTTCCTGACGAGCAAGCTGGATTTTGTTGTAAATAAAAAATGAGTTAACGAAGTTGTTCCGGCTCTCTCTCGTTTTTTTTCGTATCGTGTCACAGTATTATTTCCGTTGCCGAAGTTATTGACAAGTCGCGATTATTATTATTATATGATTATCATGATTGACATGTCGCGATGAAAGTTGTAAGTTTTACAGTTTATTGCGATCACGGCTCTCTCTCGGGATTTCCTTTAGGTAACGTCGCGTGAGTGCGAAAATGTTTGTAGAAAATTATAACTCGGGTTTTTCCCTTTTTCTTTCTTTTGTTTTTTGTTTGTTTTCTTGCAAGAGTGAAACTGGGCTTCTAACAGGTATGCGACTTCGCCATGAATATTGTTTTGGGGTCGATGTGTTGTTTCGTGTTCCTTGCTCTAATGTTGTTGTTGATTGTTTAGGAAAAAGAATTGCGGGTAAAAATGGAACGCTTAAAATGGTCATTATCATGAGGAAAATAATTGTTATGATTTTTTGTAAGTAATTGAGACGTTTTATCGGATTGGGGTCCGAACGTTTTCCTATTGACTGAGTTGTGTTCGGTTGATTTTGATTCGCTTCAATTCCCGAATTGTTTCTTGTTCCTGGAGTCGGCGAGGTGGTTTTACGTAAAGGAGGTCTTTCTTTTATCGGAGAAGTTGAAAGTTCGCTAAGTTGAGAGGAGAAGATTGTTTGTTTGATCTTGGGTTCTATCTCGTTTTGGGTTTGAGTTTGGATAAGTTGCGTTTTGTGGGGTTGGGGTAGTCGCTGGTTGTTCCGTTTCTTTCCTTCTTCTCTCCTTTCACAAAATCGGACCA